TCTTACATTCAGACCCTGACTCCTCCATAGCTTCAGCATAGTTCCTTTATCGTTGATCTATGAAACTGACTTTAATACATGGTCTTGTATTTCTAAACCATATCATCAAGTGGTTTTCATGATGACATACAAAAGGCAGGAAAATAATTTACTAGAAACTGCCATCAAAAGGCACTAAAGCTATAAGCAAACTTAGATTAGGGAAGAACAGAACACTCACTAGGACCATGCTGAATTTTAGATTTAAAGGTAAAAGATGTTCCACAGCATAAATCCTTAAACCAAAAGTGAAGAGTAGCTACACCATTCTGGAAAAAGTCACAATCATTTTTAGGCATTGCCAATAGGTACTGTGGGTCCTCACACACTGAAGCATTTTATTTCTCTTTTTATGTGAAGTGCTGCACAGCCCTTCCTAAACTAGATAAGCACAATTGTTTATAATGTTTAAAGCAATTTCATGGGTACAAAATTGGTAAAACTAAAAAAATAAATTGTTGAATTTATAAAGCCAGGTAAATCAAGACAGACTCTGCAGCAAAAAGATCAGTGCACAGCAGGCTAGATTCACACATTAAACAAATCATACTTCACACAAAGTGTATTAAATAATCCATAAATGGCTGGATTTACATAATGTGAGGGGGGTTGCTTATAAAAGGCAAACTTGCTTATAAAAGGCAAACTTGCCATAAAATCCTAGGGTACTATACTGTTAGCTAGGAAACGTGGGAGTTGGTCCAGCACAACTGGAGACCGCTAGAATACAAAAACAGAAACGTCTGAAATCAAACAAGGGAAGGACATTAACCTCAGATCTTGAATGCACTGAAAATCAACATAGACTACTAGCCCATGGAACATCTGAACCTGTTGCAGAGTTGCAGCCTGATTTAAAGCAAACAGAACAGTATTTCTATTATACAAACATACACTAAAATGTTATGGTAGATCCTGAAATCCATGTCTGGACCAAAATTGAGTTCTGGTTCTGAAAAGACTGAAGATGATTAGTGTAAATAATACTTGGCTAGTTGGCCAATGGCCTGACTTAATTTGGGTACTTTTATAAGTGCAGATCCACAGCACTGCCACAACGAAACTTGCATTAGCAATACATAGAATGCTGAGCTTGGAATGGATGCATCTGTGCCACAGAGAACAAATTCTAAGATGTTCAATAACCTCACGAATATATAAAGACATTTATAGATTGCAAGTACTATGGGAACACAAACCATCCATCACGTTTTGTCCACCTGCTATTATCTATGTAAGGCTCCTTTGAACTGAGTAGGCCGTATGTCTAAATAAAAAACCTTGCTTATGTATTTAGTTCAAAATGTAAAACAGTTGTGGATAGAGACTGGCAGCCTACTCTAAAGGCCTAATCAAAGGAATACCAACATGTACAGCCTATTAGTGAAAGGAAATTTAGAAGGGCTCACTGGAGTGGTCTTAATTACCCAAGACTGGAAAGCAACAGAATTTCCAGATGTTCCATTATTGTAACAGTTTTTCTTGTTCAGTAACATCAAAGACTCTCAGAACAAAAAGGATATTCTGACTTTCGAAGCAGTACAACACAGATCTAACATCCCCAACAGCCAATATTATCACTTACTCACTGAAGGCCTTTAAAATAAGGACTGAACGAGGGGAAAAGTGCATCACCCTTGATTGTCAGTATGGAAAGCATGAGATCACATCCTAAAGCTATTCTCAACAGCTTGAACTTCATGGCAAAAAATCCTGCATGAACTCAATCTTCACAATCCCAAAGATTTCAGTAAACAAAGAGAGGAAGGAAGGGTGGAGCAGCACCGCACAAGCAAACATTTGTTCAGTAGTTTGCTACAGAAGGACAGCACTGTCAGGAAGTGCTGTTACATGCACTATTGTTTCAGCTACAAGCCAACAAGAGAATAAATAGCAGACCAAAAATGTAAGGTGGAGAATGAAAATGACTACTATAAAACATGCATTACTACAAGAAGTACACATTTATCAGAAGCTATAAGCACAACCCACATGCTCCAAGGCCGTAACAGAACCTCCACAGAGTAAAGAAGCTGCAGACTGTGGCCAAACTTAAGAGTAAAATATAGCTATTTTACATATACTGTATTGTCAAAAGCACCTCCCCCCCCCCCCCAGTTTGGAGGGTATATACCATTCGTATACAACAAAGGAGGAAATTTTAAAACACGGAAGATAATTAATAGTTGTCACCTCTGCTAAGGCTACGTGTTTATACAACATCCCCAAGTATGATCAATACTTGATGGGTATAAAATATTCCTGTACAGTATTAGTATGATGTTTTACTTGTTTACAGAGTCTGTCTAAACAACTGTTGTCTCATGCCCTTCAGTACTAAATAATGGAGAAATCTGTCTACAAGATGCTTTCATGTTATAGCGAAGGATCATTCCCCATGGGATGATTTTAAAAGCCCATAAATTAAAAATTTAGCAGCTCTGATTATGATTAAAAGAAATAGAAGGGGGAAAAAGCTGGGGAAATGTACAGATAGTACCAATAAAGTCAAGTGGGTTTTAGGAATATTTTCCACCACTATAAGACTGAATTCTAGAAAAAGCAAATGCATTCCAGCCTGTTGCTTTTCAGATGTCTAAAAGACTATAGTAATCATTTCTAGCCAGCATCAACAACTAAGAACCAAGGCATATACTTTACCAGAATCAGAATATTCATCCATCCAAAGTACTATTGATTTCATGTGGATCATTAATTCTCATTGAAATTAGAAATGTTCATCAAAAGATAAAAGATGCTAGCACCATACTTAAAAACATGAATATGTATATATAGGACACTTGTTAAGGGTGAGGATTGCTTATATATCTCTGGCAAGTCTACCCTGAGCACAAACGTGGGAGTCCTATATGCTTAAAGCAGAATTCAATAAAATGTTGCACAAAAACAGGACCTGAAGTAGACAGGAAAACTCAAATAATTTTATAATAAATGTTTAAGAAAGATTACCAAGGTACTATAAAGTCTTTGACTTGCCTTACCACTCAAATCTCCCCAATGAATGAGATTAGCTATTTAGCTGGAAGTACTATAATTAACAGTGATGCAGTAAACTCAAGAAAGAAATAGAATGATAGGGGGAGAGGGTATGATCCCTTATAAAGTTCTGCTGGTACTATATTTCAGTCTATTGCTGTCCATTTTTAACCTCTCACTAAATCATTCCTTAACTCTATGCACTGCTTAGCTAGATGCAATAAAATGAAACTACAGTATAATAACAGGATATCCTTGGGAGTAAAAAAAAAATGTTATGTTACCACAATCCAAAAATACAGATGTGCACAGAATGCAGTTATTCCTAGACACAGCACATCACCATTTATAAAGAGTCCCTACCCTGATGAGCTTACAGTAAATCTGACATGGGAAACACCAGAGGATGAACCAAAGCTTCATGGAAAAGAGGATTTGAAGAAACCAAAAACCAGCCCTTCACAGCTGTTTTGAAGGCAGATCTAAGAATACTGGTCAGTCAGTGATGAACAGTATTTGAGAAAAAGATTACAAAATATGGAACTACAGAATCATACCATACAGAGAGCTCAATGCATAGCACATGGCACTTAGGAAGATAGAACAGAGTCAATCCAGTTCAATGAGTTTTACTTCCAGGTGAATGGGTGTTGACTTGCAAGTGTAATTGATATTTAGGATTGGCCTTACAATTAGATTGGTGAAGATAGCTAAGTTGTCCATCATTTAGTTTATTATATCTGTGCTACTATATATGGAAGATGATACTCAGATATTCAGCTCCACCCCCCAAATGCTTCGGATGCACCTGCTCTTTGTATACATTTTATAAGATGTCAAAGTGGAACTTTCTAATCCCATATCGTTACATCACAAGGACTCTTCTACCTTCTCGCGTGCCACTAATATTCTAGCAATTTTTATGTTAGTTAAACGGCAACGTTTCAAATTGCTTTGGGAGAGAGAGCAGAGATCAGGCGTTTCACACGTGCCGGGAGTCAAGCGCAGAAATAGCGGCTCTGGGGTTAGAAAAGGAGGAAGCGCTTTCTTGCTTTCTTCTCCGACACCAACAGAGTGGCTTACAACACCCAGAGGCCGCTACTCGGGGCAGCAAAGAGAAGGCGGGAACTTGGAAGAGGCGCGCCGCTCGCTCTCTCCTCGCCCGGAGAACTCTCCAAGTGGGCCAACTGCGGGCAAGCGCCAGCCGCCCCGAGGAGCGCGGGGATTTGCGTTTCCTCTTCCACCAAGGCAGTCGACAGCAATTTCCTTCTTCCTGAGCCCGGGGCTTTTCCCCACAGATGCCACCAACTCTTGCAATGCTTAACAGAACCTCCCCTCCCCTCCCCATTTTGTTTTGCTTTTATTTTTTCCCGTTGCTGACATTTCCGACCTACCTCAGGAGAAAGCAATCGGGGCAGCATTCAAGAAACAACCTTTCCCTTCCGACGTGCCCAGCTTCCTTACAACCAACAATGCGGAGAAGCAGCACTTACAAAGCAGAGGTAACTCTGCAGTAGCTCCCCCCTCCTTTGCCTCGTAGCGCCGGGACACCATCAGCGTGGCACCCTTTGACGTTTTCATTCGCAGGCGCTATCCCACCCTGACCCCCTTCCCCGCCACGCTCTCAGTGCTGCAATTAAGGGCGGGGAGTCCATCTGTTGTTGCCACGCACCGCATTTCCCACGCCTGCCTTCATTAGCAGCGAGAGCCCCGCCAGCGCAGGTGGCGTCATTCTCGTTACAACACCCGCGCAGCATCGCGCTGCCTTGAGGCTCGGAAGCGCCCTTCACACACGGTAACCTACGCTGAACTCAGAGGGACTTGACGCCTAAGTAACACGGAAGGGGCCCGGTGCAAATGGCTCTTTCCCTCGCCCTCCCCCAACAGCCCCCGATCCCCATACAGATACACGCCTCTGGCAAGCCACGCTCCTTCCTCCACCCCTTAATCAGAAATTAAAGTACCTTCTTAGAAGTAGAATCGGTTCCACAAAGTGCAACGGCTAAAGAATGAAGTTGGCTGCCCCGTGGCAGAAGGCGAGGCCACCAACGGTTCCTCGCGGCGCCTCCACCATTGAAGTTTGCCTTTTGCCGCGGCTTGTTTTGATGTCTCTGACTCCCCTCCCTTTCTCTCGCTATCCCATTCTCAGCCTCCCCAGCGCACAACCTCCCAGCCGTCGTCGCTGCTGTCGCTGCTCTCACTTCTCTCACTTCCTCTTCCTCCCTCCTGCTGGCCGGACACACGATTTGCATTTCCAAGAAGCTGCCGAAGATTATCTAGATAGGCGCGAATCTCCGCCGGGGAAGAAGAGTTAAATCGTTTGGGGGCTTCGTGCTTTAAATCTTGAATCATAATCCCATCCTTCATCACATTTACTGGAATGTAAACTGCGCGGAGTTCAATCAGATTGGAACAGAGTCTTGTCCAGGACTCGATGCAATCAAATCCGTATGCATTTATGTTTTCAGCATGTATGTGTGTATGTATGTATGTATGTAAACACACGCACACACGTGTGTGTAAAACAGACGTGTCACGTTTGTTTCTGTCTTTCTACCTTCAAGGAGATGACAGGGAGTGAACTATTAATATGCATGTGCGCGTATCTGTAAAAATTGTTATATTGATCCAATTATGATCTTGCAGCAGGATGTTCCGTGCTAGTAACGGAAAATTGCTGTCAAATACTAGCTCGAGCAATTTTCAGTTTCAGAAAAGCAACGCGGTTCAGAAGATATCCAAAAGAGGGCGGTAGTGAATATAAACAGAGAAATTGATTCCCCACCCCACCCCTTAACCTCCAGGTTTAAGTTTCTAATTAGGATTGCAGTTACAAAATGTGTTTTTACCAGCTACCAGAGTAGCTGAATCCTGCAATGCCTAAATCT